CCTCTTTGCTGACTTTAAGAACGCCTATTTAGGATAGCCGCACGTTTTGAGTGCTTCCTTTACATGTGTGTGTTCCTTCTTTTTTCCTTCAGGCTTAGAGGGAACATGTTCTGCCCGGTGGTGTAGGGTTGGCTACAATGCGTTCTTAAAGAACGAACCAACATTTCAACCATTTAGAGGATCTCTTTCAAAATAAGTTCTGTAGAGTAAAGGCGAACTTTGAGCAACATGTTTGTATTCTTGGACTCCAGTGGAGTAGCTTTGTATGGTTCACAGTGCAAAATGAGCTTTTTCATTTTTAGTGTCGTCTTAATTGGCTTTTGACTAACTAAGAACTAGAAATTCACAAACTAGGAAGCACAAGGAAACTAAATAATATGAAATAAAGACTAAGAAAAATAAATCACCACAATAAAAAGCAAGGTCCAAGAGTCCAAAAACACAAAGACAATGGGCAAACGACCCAGGTAGCATGACCTAAAGCAACATGAATGAATCAAGTCACCTTCTACAGTTTAACAAAAATAGCTTTTTTTTAGTACTTTTCAGCATATATGTTGATTTTCATACATTTTGCAGTAGTCTACATGATGGCATGGAAGGTTTTTTATTAACTTTACAATAGAGCACCCTGATCTAAATCGACTGTTGTTGTTGTGACTTGGTGCTACATAAATAAAATTGAATTGAATGGAACCATTAATACAGTTTACATGATTAACATATAGTGTTTGCATACATTCAAACATGGAAACTTTCATTGAGCAATAAGATTCTTCAAAAAACATAGGGTCACTTGGAAAAGACACTTCCTACCATAATGCATGGCAGGACTTTGCCAAAAATTCACTCCATCTGCTCAGGTAGGTCACTACATTTAATTATTGTCCATTTTATTTGAGTATCCAAACTTTTTGTCTGCGCAGATGATTTAATTTCAACAATTATTCGGTCTTGAAGAAGTTATAGATAATAGGGAATAAGTGATCTTTTGTTTGCTTAAAGCACAGGTGTTGAACTCCAGGCCTTAGGGCCCGGTGTCCTAAATTACCTCTTCAACATGTCTTAAAGTTCTCCACAACCCTGGTAATGAACTAATCATTTGATTCAGGTGTGTT